ACACACACACACACACACACACACACACACACACACACACACACACAGTTTAAAGATATACAAAATAATAACATACTACAAGTGACCAGTCATCAACACACCTGTAACTAATTGTATGGTAAAGCTGGTAAACTCTTTTTTTTGGAGGCAGGGTTTACATGTAGTCCAGGCTGGGGCTGAACTTGATATGCAGCGAAGGATGACCCCGAATTTGTAATCCGCCCGTCCCCACTTTCCGCGCTGGGATTACAGGTTACGGTGTGTCCCACGGTGTTTGTTTGATGCAGGACTGGGGTATGAGCCGAAGGCTCTGGGGTGCTCTGCAGTGACCTCTCCACCGAGTGACATCCCGACCCGTTAGAAACAAACCTCTTTTACACCACCAAACAAGGGACCAGGGATCCGGACATTAACTACGGTGTCTGGGCCGTGCGCCCCAAGGACCCCGCCCCGCCCCGTCTGCTACACGCACCGCCAGCACCGCGCCTTCGCTCAGCACCAGGTAGCCGAGCTGGTCGGGGATCCGCTCCAGCCCCTGCGTCAGTGCGGAAGTCTAGCGGGCGAAGAGGAGGGGGTGAGAAGCTCGGCAGCCCGGGAGCCGCCTCTCCCCGTCCACACCGGACCCCGGGCCCTTCCACCGGCCACGCGCAGCGGCGCCGCTCGCGGCCCTTCCCACGCCAGGCCCCCACGCCCCGCCGCAGGACACCCGGCGCAGGGCCCTCTCCGCCCTCCCGGCCGCCTCCCTCCCATCTCCGGTCCCTTCCGGCCCCAGCGGGACAGGAGGTGACAGCGGAGTTGCCCGCCGTAAGGGGGCAACCGGAGCGCGGGGAACGGGGACGCCCGCGCATGCGTGCGCACTCACCATCGCCGCGGCGGGAGCTGGCGGAGCTCCGTCCCCGATAGGCCGCTTCCGGCTCGGGTCACGTGGCCGCGCCGCCCACTCGCCCGGGCCTGCGCGTGCGTCCTCAGCCCGCCTCGCCCACTGCGCAGCGCCGCTCTCCGGGCACGCTCGGGCGGGGATTGGCCCGGCCGGCGAGGGTGCCCGCAGGGTTCGCGCGTTGGCGGGCGTGGGCGTGGGCGTGGGCGGGACACCCTCCCCCGCGCTGCCGTGTGCGCGTGTGCGCCCGGGGCTGCCGGGGCGTCCCGGCTCGACCCGAAACGAGAAGCTGAGGTCGCATCGGAAACGCTGTTCACGTGCTGATTCTTCTGGGAAGAACTGTGAGTGGGTAAACCGGATCTGGTGTGTTCACACTCCAGCAGATAGCATCAGTGGTCAGTACTACGGGCAGCATGTGATCAATACACGGGAATAACGCCCTGACACACAAGGATACGAGATGGAGAAGGCAGGCTGGGAAGATGGCTCCAGAGACCGCTCAGCCGCTGAAGGTTCAGGTTCGCAGCCGAAAGGCTGGATGGTGGTAAATACCATGACTTGCGTCTATGTAGGATGCTTGGACGTGAGTGATGCCACATGCTTGTAACCCTGCTTCTTGGGAAGCCAAGGCAGAGGGTTGCGAGTTCAAAGCCAGCCTGAGACCCCCGCTACCTACCAAGACCCTGACCAACACACATACACTTCTGAGAGCACATACATGGTTGAGAGGGGGGCAAGAGAAAACGAGGAGGTGGCTGTTAATGAGGGGTTTGGGGGGGGATAAATGGAAGCTTTTTGGAATTTGTATTGAAGAGTGCATTATATCTTTGTGAATGGGATGTCACTGAATTGTATGTACACTTTGAAATAAAAAAAATTAAGATGTGTGAATTATATGTTTCCCTTCACCCCTTTTCAGTACTGAGGAGCAAAGTCAGGGCTTTCAGCATACAGGACTTCAACCCCAGAACAAAACATAGCTCAACAAAGAGAGTCCTCATCCCCAAATCCTCTTGTTTTAGGAGAAGCAGCTGATTCTAGAAAATGCATGTCTAAAAAAATAAAAATAAATTTTAAAAAAAAACAAAAAAAAAAAAACGAGGCAAGGCTGAAGCTTCAGCTCAAAGTTCAAACACTCGCCTAGTGTGCACAGGCCCCAAATCCAATCTTCATGACAAAAACATCGAAGCAGGGCTGGCAAGATGGCTCAGCAGGCAGCTCCAATTGTGAACAGAAACAACCAGGTTGTCTTCTGACTTCCGCAGGTGAGCGTGGCACACGTGGCCACACACATCACGTTAGGCCCAACATGGGCCTAATTTCCAGAAGTAATGAAGAGAACTCAGGAGACCAGATCTCATCAATGCAAAATCGCAAGAGGTTTATTTTAACCATTGCGCAACGGGGTCACCCCTGCCGATCAGCAAAGAGTGGCCCTGGGAGACAAAGGCTTTAGGTTTTTAAAAGACAAAGCGTGGGAATTTTGAGGTTGCAGTTAAGGATTGGATGAGGAAACTAAGATAATTGGTTAGTCTTAGGTGCTCAAGCTTGGCCAGTCCTGCCAAGTGTGGATTCGGCTGCAATTAAAGGCGGGGGTGGTTAGCTCATCCTTGAAGACTGGGGCTGCGGGCTTTTGGCTGGAGGTCTGGTCTACTCAGAAGAAGGATTGAGGCCATCTGGGTTGGTTGCTAAGAAACACTATCTCGAAGACAAGGGTCTGGTCGTTCTTTTTGCGAGTGGTCATTGCTTGCTTGCTTTTTTATATATGTCCTCACAGATAGGGTCACATTCCTCTGTTCTCTGGAAAGGCACTAAGAGGCTTTAGCTTAACCTGGACCTAAAACTCAAAACTATTGGCTTTAGAAGACATACATGTTACAAAGTTAGTCTGAACCTTTCACACACACACATGTACATAGTAAGGTAATAAAAACAAGTAAATTTACAATATAAAACTTTAACTGGATCTTGAGTTCAAGGCTATTTTAAACTAAATAGTTAGGTTGTCTTCCAAGAGCTGGAGGTGGTGGTGCATGACTGTAAACCCAGCACTCAGGTAGGCAGGCAGATTGCTGTGAGTTTGAGGCCAGCCTCGTCTACAAAGCAGGCCCAGGACAGCCAAGGCTACACAGAGAAACCCTGTCTCAAAAAAAAGATTGTCTCAAAAGATTTTTAAATTAGTGGAGGCTGTTCAGAGATGCAAGGCCCTTCCCTGGCCTTAGACACTCGTGATGCTTAGGAATAGCAGGCTTTTTTGAGGCAGGACTTGTATCTTAGGCTGGCCTGAAGCCAAAGGGCAGAGATTCCAGCTGTGTATTGCCAGTGCTGGCTGGGAGCATCGTATCGTTGCATTTATTATACAGAGCACTTTCATCTATACACTTTCATATAAAACTCTCACTCATAACTGCATAATAGCTCCCCCTTAGCTTCCCTGTGGTGCAGAGGACTTCTAATTCAGAACATGGCTGTTCTGAAAAGAGATCACATCCAAAGAGTTTCTAGGTCTGTGATCCGGCTGGAATACAAACACACCTTTAATCCAGGAGACAGGGACAAGCAGATATGAGTTCAAGGCCAGCCTGGTATGGAGCAAGTTTCAGGTAAAGATAAGTTTAGGTCCAGGTATGGTGGTACATGCCTTTAATCCCAAACAATGAAGGTAAAGTTAGTTTGTAAAAGGAAGAACCATGTTTGAAAGTGATGTCTAATTGAATGGCAGAAAAGGTGACAGAATATTTGAAAGAATAGGGTAAGTCCAACTTTCAGGAGAAGAGAGAAAAGTGAAACTACTTTCACTGTAGGAGAAGAGAGAGAAAGAAGGGGGAAGCAAGATTTTTGTTTTTTGCTTTTTGTTTTTTTGGGTTTTTTTTTTTGGGGGGGGGGGGGAGATGGCTGGAATTAGTTTGAGACCAAGCAGAGCAATTCAGAGAATGAGAGAAAGGCCAGATTTTATAAGTCAGCTGGGAGAGGAATTTAAACCAGAAATGCTGAGTTGAACCAGCCAGGCCAGAACTCAGTAAGAACAAGCAAAGGTGAGCTTATTCAGCAATGTGTCTCAGAGGCTAAAAACATTCTAGGCCTCGGTTAGGTTGGATGGAGCTGGAAGCTTCCAGGACCAGCCTAAGTCAGCAGATGTAGGCAGTAAGCCTCACGGACAACAGTCGAAACAGACACATAAAAGTTGCTTTTACAGTGCAGCAGTTCCACGTGCAGAGAAGGAAAAGCACAGAGGTCCAGCCTTGCTTTCAGGCATACAATTGGCCAGTGGTAGAGGTTGTTCCTCAGCTTGACCTTCTCTCCCACCTGGCCTTGTGTTTCAGAGTTGGGTCTATAAAGACATCCTTGTTGACAAGGGGATGTCTGCAGAGTACCTTGTGGGCATGAGGTGACTACAGTTATAAATTTCACTGCATGTGGTCCATGGGCCCCTGGTGGCACAGAAAAGGATGCCAGATCCCTGGGGGTGCTGGGAATCTGTCCCAGGTCCTCTGGAAGAGCAGCCAGTGCTCATAACCATCTCTCCAGCTCCTGGGATGGTTATTATAAAAGATGTGAAGAATGCCAACAAGACTGTGAAGACACGGGATCCTCGTGCCTGCTGAGGACAGCGTAGATTAGCACAGTAGGTATGGAAGGCAGTCTGAAGCTTCCTCAAAAAATAAAAATTAAAAACAAGACCACCATGTGGGATCTGGGGAGACGGCTCAACAGTTAGGAGTCCTTGCTGCTCTCACAGGAGGTCAGTTCCTGGCACCTACATCCAGTGGCTCCCAACCGCCTGTGTAGCCTGCTGTAGGGGGTGGAATCTGGTGCCCTCTTCTGGCCTCCAAGGGCATTGTGCTTACATAACCGTGCACACATAAACATTAAGTAAAAATAAGAAAAGTAAGATATTTAAATTTTTAAAGAAGATATCATGTGATTCATCCATTTTAGTTCTAGGCATACAGCAAAAGGAAATGAAATCGGTATGTTGGACAGATGGGTTTGCTGAATCACCATTTAAAAGAGCTACGATGTAGAACCAGCCTCAACGTCGTCAGCAGATAAAGAAAGAAAGAAAACAAGCCGGGGAGTGGCGGCACACAGCTTTAATCCAAGAACACTCAGGAGGAGAGGCAGACGGATCTCTGAGTTCCAGGCCAGCCTGGTCTACAGAGTGAGTTCCAGGACAGCCTGGTCTACAGAGTGAGTTCCAGGACAGCCAGGGCTACACGGAGAAACCCTGTCTCAAAAAGTAAATAACTAAAAGGACTGAACATATTACTATTAAGACTTAACTGCGAAGGATACCCTAGCATTTGCCACAACACGGGTGACCAGAAATAGTAAAATGAGCCAGATACATGAGGAGTAATATAATCTTTTGAAGTCAAATATACAGATATAGCAGATTTTAAAATAAGTCCCAGATGTTGGTGTGTGGTGTGTCGTGGTTAACTTTACATCAACTTGATGCAAACTAGAGTCATTTGGGAATAGGGACTCTCCACTGAGAAAATGCCTCCCTAAGATTCGCCTGTACAGGCCTGTATTATATTTTCTTGATTAGCATCGATGTGGACGAACCCAGCCTGCTGGGGGCAGTGCCAGCCAAGGCAGGTGCTCCTGGGTGGTGTAAGAAAGCATCCTGCCTAGAACCTCTGCTTGGATGTAGCCCGTGGTAGCTCAGTAACCAATTGGTTTCCCATAGTGAGGGGAACAAGGACTATTTCTTCTAACAGGAACTCAATGGCTGGCTCTTTGACCTCCCCACCCCCTAAGGGAGGAGCAGCCCTGTTAGGCCACAGAGGAGGACTTTGCAGGCAGTCCTGAAGATACCTGATAAAACAGGATCAGATGAATAGGGAGGAGGTCACCCCCTATCAGTGGACTTGGAAAGGGGCAGGGTGGAGAGGAGGGAGGGAGAGTGGGAGTGGGAGGAAATGAGGGGGTGGGATGCAGCTGGGATACAGAGTTAATAAAATGTAACTGATAAGAAAAAATAAAAATTAAAAAAGAAAGCATCCTGAGCAAGCCATGGTGAGAAAGCCATTAAACAGTGTTTCTCCACAGCCTCTGCCTCAGTGCCCACCTCTGGGCACCCGCCCTGACTTCCCTCAGTAATGGACTGTGACCTGAGAGCTGAAACAAGTTCCTTTTGGTCATGGTGTCTTATCAAGATGGTGTGGACACTCTGAGATGGAGCAGAAACAGACTGACAGGAGTGGGGACGTACAAGGACCTCTGGGCCAACCATGCCCAGCATGGCCCTGAACTCCAATCCTTCTCCTTTTGTCTCTGCTCGTGAAGACTGGAATAGCGATGCCCTAAAATCAGTGTATGTGGTGCTGGGTCAGACAAAGGCAGTTTTGCATATTAGGCAAATACTCCACAAATGAAACAAATAGGGAGGTGTGTATTCCACCATTTGGAGGCACAAGGCTTTAAGCTAGACAAAGAATCCTGTGTGTGGCACACATTATAGCCAGACAAGCCTGGAATTTACAATATTCCTGCCAAGCCTTTCCTGTTTTTCTTGGTACACACCTTGGGAAGTTTTTGATGCTTCTCTTTCTTTCCTACTTTATTGTTTCTGTTTGTTTAGCTTTTAGAGACCAAGTCTTGTGTGTCCCAGGCTTGTCTCAAACTCCCCATGTAGCCTGAGCCCCTTACCATCTTACCTCAGTCTCCTGCGTGCTGGGATTACAGCGAGGTGGCGGGCAGGCTTCTCCGAGCAGGGCAGTGCTAGGACTGGAGCAGAGCTGGGCTCTCCCCATACCAGCCCTTTAGTGACGTTTTGCAAAGGACGTGCTGCTTTCGAGACTGCTGCCTGCCCCACAACAGAGGTTCCAATAGATGGGTTTTTACTCATAAGAAGTATTTGGCTCACCGAACCCTCGATATTAAAGAACCTAGGGCTTGGTATAAGATCCTGGGATTCCAGCTTCTTATAACCCCAATATGAGGTGGGGAGAGGAGCTGAAACAAGCAGATCCCTCAAGCTCCTGGGTCACACTGCTTAGCCAAGTGAGAGGCCCCACCTCAAAACATAAAGGTGGGAAGACCCCGGAAAGTCTGCCTCTGGCCTTCACACACACACATGCACACACCTGCACTAACAGGTACATACACACACTCACCACATATCTCACACAGCTCTCTCGCTCTCTCTCACACACACACATACACACACACACACACACACACACACACACACGCACGCGCGCGCGCACGTGCACGCGAGGGCAGGGAGAGGGGAGTTAAATAGTAATTTAAATGAAATAAGTGTCTGCTGGGTGGTGCCCACGTTTAACCCCAGCACTCAGGAAACACTAAGTTCCAGGCCAGCCAGGGCTACATAGGGAAAGCTTGTCTAAAAAGGGTAATAATCAGGTAGGTGTGCAGAAGGCGAGGGTCGGGGAAGAGGACAGCTAACTGGTGAGCAGCAGCTGCCCTGAAGTATAACCCTTAACAAGCTGATTTCCTCCTCCAGCCTAGGTTGCCTGGTGGGTCCTCCATTTTCAGCATAGTCCAGGCTGGCCTCCAACACACTCGCCGTATTCATGTAGATTACCGTGAGGTCTCGGGGCCGAGGACCTGGGCCCAGTTCTCAGCACCCACGAGGTTGTTCACAACCACCCGTGACTTGCAGAAGACCCTCCCTCCTCTGGTCGCAGAAGACGCCAAGCACGCCTGTGGTGCACACACAATCCTCAGGTAAAACACGCGTGCACGTGAGCTAAAGTAAATAAATCTTCAAATCCTTGTTTAAAAGATGCAATATAAGCTCTTTCTACAGTGAAGAGTCAGAAAGAGCTGAAATGCTATAAACAAAAGAAGTTTTGACATACTCACATAACAGAAGTCTCTTCTCCTGTTAGGCGATTTAAACCAAAACTACGTCTGTCAGCCAAAAACAAACCTTAAAATGAGTGGGGTAAAAGCAACGAGTGTGGCAGGTCAAAGCACTTGCTAGGCAAGCCCGACAGCCTGAACTGAATAACCAGAACCGCGTAAAGAGGCTGTTTGCAGAGGCCCACATCTGCCGCGGGGTACTACCGCAGAGAAAAGCAGCGGCAGACGGGAGAATCGCCCAGAAGCTCGCAGGCCAGCCAGCCTGCAGCAGCCCGCAGAGAAGAGAGCCGTCCTCCTGACAGAGCGAGCCAGAGAGTGAGCCAGGAGAGTGGAAAAAGTTGCTGCGTTAGCTTGAGGGCAACCTCGGTCCTCCCGGTTCCTCGCCGGTGGTCCCCGAGCCTCCCGCGCCCTCTCGTGGTGAGATCAGGTATTACACGCGGAACCTCGGCGAAATGTGAAAGTTAGGTTTTCCATTTACTCCCCGTGGGTGTCTGTGGAGAGGACACTGTGTTGGGCACGCCTTCCTGCCGGCTCGCCGGGAGCCAGGAGTCTTCCCACACACAAGGCCACACGTGAATGAGGATCCTGTTCTTCCACCTGAGTTCTGCCTCGGCACCTATGTCCTTGAGCCGACTGGACTTCCCGCCCTCAGCAGGCGACAGCATGCGCGCACATCAGGTGACGGTATTCGTGGAAACTGGAAGCCACCACGGTCAGTCAGCTCCTTTACGATGGGTGGGCCTGCTAAACGGATGATGCTGTTAAGCTACCCGGATTCGTTTTCATAACTCGGCAACTGGGCTGCGAGGATCCAGGCTCCGTCCATGGGGTATTCCAAGGGCTACAGGATTCTGGCTGTCGGGTTAGTCTTTCTGGTTTTGGTAAGTACTTTCATTGCCTCTTGTTGGCTTCATTACTGCTTCTCCCTAAGTTTGCATTGGTTAATGCTTTAACCTTGGAGAGTGACCCGAGGGAAGCTCTCATTCTTCCTCCTCCCACTCCTGAGGGGTATTCAGGAGCATCGACTGCAGGGAGAACTTTCTAGGAGTGTGGGCAGGGGCATGTTGGGGTCCATCAGGGAGTCTACGCTCGGAGGAAGCTGTCCAGGGAAGTCCCGATGGAGAAAAAGCGTGAGTGAGAATAAGGACTATGGCTGGGAAGGCATGAGCGGATGTCTGCTTGCCCTACACAGCGCGACGGCAGCAAGGAGAACACTTCTACCTATGTCTAGGTCAATGAATAAATGAGATTAATGGGCTTCCTTACAGGGGCACAAGGAAGAGGTTGTCCACCCCCCCCCCCCAAATAAAACAAGCCAAAAATTAGGCTCCAAGCAACACTCCCTGAAGCTGCAGAAACTCTCCTGTTAGGAGCTTCTCTGTGCCCCAGCACCTCCAGACACCACATGCATCTGGAGAACTGCAGACAGCTGGACAAGGTTAGGGATGGGGGCAGCTGGACTCCCAGGTGAGGCTCTAATGACCCTCCCCGAGCCCTCTGTCTACACAAGAAAGACTACAGACGCCTTTGCAGGCTGTCACAGCTGCCCTGGTGAAGACAGTGGTGGCCACGTCCCACACCATCAACTCGAGTTCTCAGTTCTTTTTTAGAAGGGTTCTCTATGTTCCTGATTAAGAGAAAGAAGTTTTGTGGTTTCACTTTTAGCCTGGAGTGAAAAAGTCAAGAGAATAGAAAAAGGTCTGGTGTATACACACACACACACACACACACACACACACACACACACACACACACAGGATTGGGGTGGGTGAAGGGGAGGATAGACCATAATGTGAATGAATATGATCAAAATACATTGTATACATGTATGAAACTCACATAGCAAATAATTTTTATTTAGGCCAGGCAGAGGTGGTGCACGCCTTTAATCCCAGCACTCAGAGGCAGGCATATCTCCGAGTTCAAGTTCACCTTGGTCTACAGAGCAAGTTCAAGGACAGCCAGGGCTACACAGAAGAAGCATGTCTCATAAGGCATAAAAAGAAAACAGATTTAAATACCTGCCACGAACAGAAGCAAGCTAGTAGGAGATTAGGGTACCGCTTTATTTCTTCTTTGAAGTTATACTCAAGAAAAAGCCAACAGTTGTTCCGGAAGAGGCTTTTCCTGTTTATCAAAACCGGAATTTTAACTCACAGGGTATTGTTACTGGTATTTGAGCAGCAACTTTATGGAAATGTAGAAACTGAATGATTTGAACTATAAAAAGACAGATCAGACATTATTCTGAGAGCAACTAGCCTATGAAACAAGCTCTGTGCCAATTTCCAGTAAGATCTGTCTCAAAAAACCACCGAAAGGAAGAAAGGAGAAAGAAAGAAAGAAAGAAAGAAAGAAAGAAAGAAAGAAAGAAAGAAAGGGAGAGAAGAGGACTATTTGAGCTGGCAAGGAAGATCAGCTGGAAGAGGGAAGGATAGAAAAGGGGGCAGTGGAGGGCTAGAGAGAGCTCATGGTTAAAAATTCTTGCTGCTCTTCCAGAGGACCCGAGTTCAGTTACCAGCATCGGTGTCTAGTGACTCACAATCCCTGTAACTCCAGTTCCAAAAGACCTGACACCCATCTCTGACCTTCATAGGCCCTGAACATGTGTGGCAAACACATACATACATGAATAAGAAAACAAGTATTTTAAAAAGAATAGAGAGTTAGGCATAGTGACACACAGCTTTAATGCCAGCACTTGGGAAACAGAGGCAGATGAATCTCTGTAAGCTGGAGACCAGCCTGCTCTAGAAAAATGAGTCCCAAGCCAGGCACTGTCACACAGTATCAGGTGGAATAGCTGGCCCCACTCCTCAACATTTGCAAGTAAAGATATTTGGACAAAAGGGTATACTGTGGGACACTGCACCTTTTATAGTGAGATTTTTTTCCTTTTGGGGGCTAAGTTGCCAGGGCAGAGGGTGGATAAGGGATGAGGGAATGAGTGGGATTGGAGTGCATGATGTGAAATTCACAAAAAATCAATAAAAAGTAAAAAGAGAAATAGGAGGTAAAAGAAAAAACAGAGAAATTTACTATCATCATCAGATTTCTGTATTTCTCTCTTTTTTTCACGGTATGCAGCTTTTTTGTTGTTGTTGTTTCTGTTTTCTTCGAGACAGGGTTTCTCTGTGTAGCCCTGGATGCTCTGGACTCACTTTGTAGAGCAGGCTGGCCTTGAACTCATAGCGATCCACCTGCCTCTGCCTCTCTGAGCCCAGCGGTGTGCAGCATTTTGAATTATGACAGTATAGTTAATTTTGAACTTCAGAGTAGAGTCATAAGGAAGCATGGGTTTATGTGTGTCATGCTTTATGAGGTTCATACATTTTACATCTGTTACTATGCCAAACTCCACTTGGTTAACATCTGCCATCATTCCAGTTTGTGAATTACCATGATTTATTTGACCACTGTGCTGTTGATAGAGAGTCGGTGTGGAGAAGCACACCGTTGATCCTGGCACCCAGGAGACAGGGGCAGCTGGATCTCTGTGATTCTGAGGCCAGCCCGAGATACATAATGAGTCTGAGGACAGCCGGGCTACACAGAGAAGACTCTGTCTCACAAGATCAGGGGTAAGGGAGGGGGGTCACAAAAAGAACAAGAAAGAAGAGTAAAAGAAATTTGGCTACTTTCAGTTTGGGGATTATTATTTCTTTTTTTCTTTTTTGAGACAGTCTCCTGTTGCCCAGGCTTGTTTCAGCCGGGTCACGTATGGGAGGATGACCTTGAACAATCTCCTCTGTCTCTTCTTCTTCCTCCTCCTCCTCCTCCTCCTCCTCCTCCTCCTCCTCCTCCTCCTCTTCCTTTCCACAGCATTGGGGATGGAACCTAGGACCTCACACATGCTAGGCTCTTGTCACAGCTCCAGCCTTGGCCTTGAACTTCTGATTCTTCTGCAATTGCCTCCCCGGTGATGGATGCAACTGGAGGAGGCCTGTACCACCACACGAGACTCCAGGATTTCCTGCATCTTACACAATCATCCTGAGGTGCAGCTCCCAGTTTGGGAGTGTTTTAAGCACTCCTACCATGAGCCTTCTGTCCCAGTGTCTTGGTGCATAGCACACTGTAGCAGTGAGTATTTATATGAGCCAAATTGCTTGGTCCTAGCATACACACATATTAAAGTATGAAAACAACTGCCTGGTCTCTTTTAGTATTGAGAGATGTGGTTGCTTTCTATCCTTGCTAATATTGCAAGGATCTAGAAATTATGTTAATATCATTTCTATAAATATGCAGAGCTTTTCCAAGGTGGTTTATTCACTTTCTTCATAATTCAGCTGAGGGTCTATTCACAGATTTCTTGGTCGTTTGAATTCTCCTTTATTGAAAAATCACTGCCCTGGGCATGGTGGCACATGCCTTTAGTCCCAGCATTATGGAGGCGGAGGCAGGTAGACCTCTGAATTCGAAGCCAGCCTGTTCTACAGAGTGAGTCCCTAAACAACCGGGGCCACACAGAGATCTTCTGCCCATCTTTCAAATTTATTATCTTTCTCTCTCTCTCTCTCTCTCTCTCTCTCTCTCTCTCTCTGTGAGTTAGAGGCCAGCCTGGTCTACAAAGCAAGTCCAGGACAGTCAAGGCTACACAGAGAAACTGTCTCAAAAAAAATGCTTTGAATATTAGACAAGTTTCAGCCCCTTGCAAGTCCTGTAAGGTTAACTTGGGCTGTTCCCAGTGCAGTGAGTTTTGTCCACCAATGACTAGCAGTCCAGTTAGTTCCTGTCCGTATGCAGTACAGGGACTAGGTGTTTAAGCATAACCAGCAATCCTGCTGCTTGACTGCTTTTCAGAAATGATTAACTCTATTCCCAGGATCCCTTTCTGTATTATAGAGTCTGTTTCTTTGGTTCTTTTTTCTGTCTCCTAAAGGACAGAGTTTTGTTTAAAGGAAATTTTTCCCCTGGGAGCCAGTTTTACAATCCCTGTTTTCGAAATGGAAATTCCCTTGTTTCAACAACCTAGGAGCCCAGCCTCAGAGTGTGCAGAGAACTGGAAACACCGATTTCTACCTCAAAAGATAAATTCCTGTCTTTTCTTTTCTCCATGCAACTAGGCATAAAAGCAGACATCAGCAAGTAGAGGCCAAGATGAATAGAGGTTGCTGGTCTGTAGTCGCACTAGCTAACGCCTTTCCTGGTGTCTGTCTCCCTAGGTCCAGGCCTACGAATGGTGGCTAGACTGTGACCTGTATCCATACCCATTGTGCAAAACACAAGGCTTAGGAGGAGGTAGAGGGGCAGGGAGTAGGAGGGCCCAGAGTCCAGAGATCGTCCACTTGGCTGCAGCGTCTGTGGCTTCTGCTTTCTCGAGCTGGGTGTGGTGGTGTAACACCAGCTCTCTTTGCTGCTGGAGGGCAGACAGTCACCTTGTGAGGTGTTCCCCACCCAGACTGCGCCCCAGGAGCCTAAAATTCCTCCAGGGACTTTAATTCATTCTTAAAAGGTCCCTTTAAAAACTAGCAAGTGCTGTTATCCTCCCCAGCCCCCGCAGGCCAGATCTTGGTGAAGAGTTTTAAGGGGTGTTTGTCTCTCCCTTGGACTCCATCCTGGCTAAGGACACTGTTTGCCTTAAGCACCGAGCTGGCAATGGGCTGAGACATCTCCCCTGAGCTGCCCAGTCTCGGTATAACATCCCTTGGTCTGAGCAACTCAGAGAGTTTTGTGGACCCTGGGTGAGTAGCCTGGTGAAGGTTTCTTACCAACAGTCCTGCCAGTTGTTTTGGGAAGAATGATCTTTTCTCTCAGCTCCTCCATCAGTCTGTGGGCTTGAGCTGTCCATTTCTTCTCTACTACGGAGTCTCTATATTATCAGAATGTCAATAGACCCCACTGGTCTTAGGACCCTTTGTTGGGCAGCCAGGTCAAAAGCCCAGTAGTGGAGGACAGCAATTTGTGGAGGAAGCCAAATGCCCTTTAGGTGGGCCAAGAATTTTAATATCTTCTCCCACCTCCAGTGATGAGAAACCCTCTTTCTCTATAGATCATACTGTGGAAATTCCAAGTTGTAAAACAACAAAAAACAAAAGGCAAACAAACAAACAGTCCATGGATGGAGTGGACCTTCCTTTTCCCATCTGAGAGCCCGGGTCAGACCAATCAGTTCTGCCCTCTGGACTGAGGAACCTGGCTTGGGGTTGGATCGTTTTGGTTAAAGGGCTGTAACTGCAACGTGCCTGGTTTCAGCTCTCAGCTCTGACAGTCATGGAGGAGCCCCTGTGTCTTCAGGCACGCAGGTAGCTGAATTGATGGCAGTGGGTTTTTCAAATCAGACTGGAGGGTGGGCCAGTAGTACGGCCTAGTACTGGGTCATACAGTCATTAGACAGCCAAGGTTCTGGTGCTCCTCAGAGGAGGGCCTCAACCACGCCATTGGGTGCTGGTGAGTGAAAGATCCGGATCCAGAGTTAGCTTGGTTGCTCTTTTTCATTGAACTAGCAGTAGCCAGCACAGTTTTTAGACAAGTGGGCCATCCTGTGCCTACAGGGACCAAACATTTGGATGGGTATGTCACAGGGCATTTCTGTGGCCCCAAAGTTTGGGTACCTATAAGTCTAGTTTTGTCCCATCATCACAGAAGGTGATAGTGGCTTTCAGTTTATACAAAAGGTCTTGTCCCTAGTAGTTTTCTGTTGTTAAATATTTTTTTAACTACCTCCAGGGACTGGGACCTACTTATACCTTGAGTTTTTAAAACTTTTATGACTTTTTTCTAATATTTGGAGCTGAGTAGGTAACAAAGAAAATATTTTTTTTTTTTTTTTAGTAGTTATCTTTAATCCTTTAAAAAGGATCTAGTAAAAGCTGTTTAAAGTCTCCTTGTCGGCGTTGGACAGGAAAAATCCATTCTATCTAGGCTGCATTCCTGGCTCTGATTCCCCTGCCCATCCCAGTGGCAGTTCTTTAAAACTGTTTTCGGAGAATGGTGTGTTTTATGGATCATTGGTTGAATTCCCCTTCTCTGGGGCTGCTGAGAGCAGACGCAGAGCTCTGCTCATCTGCAGTGACTATTTCCCCAACTCTGTGTGCATTCTGTGTAGACGGCAGCGGGCCCTGAGTGAGAGGCCCGCCTCCACCCAGGGACCAACCCTGACAGTGAGCAGGGCTCAAACAACAGAGCTAGCAGGCGCTCCTGCTCCAGGAGTGGGGGGTCTCCCTGGGTAACCTGGCAGAACCAAAGGGATTCAGGTGCCAGTGGGGTGGGGGGCGAGGCAAAGGTCTTAAGCCTATGGGGGGGGGTTGTCTAACACCGGGGAAAGCCATTGGTTAACACAGGGAAACAGAACTGACAGAGGTGCGTAGAAAGACACAGACACACAGTAAAAACAACGAGGGCTGGCCGCCACACATCCACACACTTGAACAGACAGCGGTCCAGCCATGTCTCCCACGGACACCGGACATTGGATCAGCAGCCACGTCCGACCTCCACTGTGTGTCTAAACAGAAGGCACTTTAACCAGACCTATCTCCCGAGGTGACAGCCCAGTGACTTCCTAATTTGTTTCCTTTTGGGGTGGAGATGGGAGACCCCTCTGAAGACTTAGTTGATTGACCAAAGGGAGCCCTGGGGTCATCCCAGGCAGCAGTCTCCTGACCATTGCACTTCTCCTTGTTCCAAGGGGCCCTGAGGTCTCAAGGTCCAGTCTCTGGGATCTTGCTGGGGCCTCCAGAAATGTTGTGGGTATTCACCAGCGAAGGCTGCTTGCACGTAGGCTTAAGCCAATAGAAAGCCTTCACTATCAGGCCAGTGACCACACTGGGTGTTTGGTAATCTCACTGTAGCCCCGAGCATTTCTCAGGGTGAGCTTTTAAACACAGAGGCCATGTCCTGGGTTGACATACTTCAGTTAACAAGAACAGCTGTCCAAGAGCAGAACTACAGAGCCAAAAAGCAAGGTTAGCACATTTAGGAGACTTTGCCATAGCTGTCAGCTTTGCTGGATTAGGTCTCTGTTTTTACTTTTGGCAGGTGGTGCTGCCTGTGTAGTGAGTTTTACAGCCTTAATGACATTTCTTTCATGGAGTCATTTGCACTAAGCTCTGGAGCCCTTTTCAGGACCTGGGAACAGAACCCTGGTCCTCTGCAAGAGCAATATGTGTTTTTAACTCTTGATCCATCTCTAGCCCCATGACTACAGATTTTTTAAGTTACCAATTGTCATCTCATGTGTGCTAGTGTAGGTGAGAGATGCCCCCAGAAGCTCCAGTATTTGGACATTTGGTCCTCCTTTGCTGGTGGCATTTGGGAAGTTTGGAAGGTGTGGTCTTGCTGAAGAGTATGTGTCATTAGGGCTGGCCTTTGAAAGCTTGAGTATGACCTGACTTCCAGTTTTCTGTGCTTCATGCAAAGTGAGAATGTGAGGCCTCAGATTCTTGCTTAATTCTTTAAATTTACTATTATTTTGTGTAATGTGTGGAAAGGTAAAGGTATATAATGGTATGGGATGGTGATATGTATGTGTGTGTGAGAAAGAGAGACAGAGATAGACAGGAGAGAGAGAGCAAGAGAGAGCTGCTTCCTCCATGTCTTGTAGAACTCAGATCACCAGGTTTATACACAGCAGGCACGTTAACCCTCTGAGCCACCTTGCTGCCCCTATTTCATGTTTTTGTTTTTGTCTGTAACAGGATCTCCAGTAACCCCAGGCTTTTCCTATCCAAGCACAGCCTCAGCAATGGACGTGACTGGGTGGGAAGGGAATGAATAACATATAAACACATGGGCACACAGAAAAGCTCAGAGCTCTCTTATGGAGAATCAGCACACCCAGGGAGTTTATCAAATTTCTTAAATACTGTTAAACAGAAGCTGGGGTTATCGCATCCAGCTGAACAAGGAAGCAGATTCAGGGTATACCGCTCAACAAGGAAGCCTGTGTAGAGGAGCAGCCTTTGGGCAGATTATGGTGGATACAGCACACATTCACTCAGGAATTCATCCAGTCAGGCCTTGCTCCACTCCTCAGCGAGCCCTCAAATTGCCCAAGAATGACCTGAAATTACTGATCATCCTGCCCTGGCCTTCTGAGGGCTGGAACCACAAACATACCATGCCTGGCCTTATGTCAGGCTTCTAAGTGTAATAGTCAGTTTATAATTTGCAAACACACAATCAAGGAATTAGGATGTTGATTCTCAGCGTGTTCAGTATACGGGGCAAATGAAATAGCATTTATATGCAGATGGTATGTACTTTCTTGATCTGTGAACATAGTAATCAGGGAAACTTTCACAGAATCCATTTCCTGGCCCTCCTTAGCACCATTTTCTTAGTCCTACCTACCTTCAAACCTTGTTGATCTACCAATGTACACAGTGAGGTTCCTCTTGGTTCTCTTTCTCCAGTTTAGATTGTTAAGTCCTTGGGTCTGCAGAATCTGTAAACACATGTGGTACTGTTCTCTATATATCAGATAATGTCAACAGTGGGATCAACAAGATGGCTCAGCAGATAACGGAGACAGTTGCCAAGCTATTATCCTCTGGACATGGACAAAGGAGAAATGACCCTACATATTGTCCTCTGACCTTCACATGTGGGCCACAGTGGACATATGTATGCATGTACATCCATTTGTGTGTACAGACAAATACACACATGCACACACAAAAACACATTGTTTAAAAAGAAAAGAAAAACATAAGAGGCATTTGAAGCTAGAGAAATGGCTCAGTGGTTAAGAGCACTGGCTGCTGTCACAGAGTACCTAGGTTTAGTTCCCAGCACCCACAGGGCAGCTCACAGCAATTTGTACCTCTGGATCCAGGTGATTCAATGTTCTCTTTCAGTCTCCTTGGACAGCAGGCATGCATGTGGTACACATACAGAAGGGAGCAAAGAATTCGTACATAAATATCTTTAAAAAAATAAAATGAAGATAAAGAAGAACCCCAATGGTGCCCCAGTTTCCTAGGTAATATGGGGTGAGCTGAGACTCCCCAGAAATTCCAGTAACACTGTTACTGCAGCCTTGAGATCTCTTTCACACAAAGGTGATGGTGACTCAAATGCCAGGCTTAGGAGTGACAGAATGGGTCAGGTGGGTCTCCTAGGAGCTTCTCAGCCAAGTGGAGCACCTCCTTCCAAGAGTAAAATGGGGCACACAGCACACTGGCATGTTCTCCTGCTTTACCCACAGGTGTTGTATCTCATGATGTCTTGGCCTGAACCCGTGACCCGTTGGATCCCACAACCTCTTCCTGCCGCTGCATATGTCTCAGAGTCTGTCAACTGGGATTCTCTCCCTCAAGAACTCACCAACCTGACCAGCCTTCTATACTGGCCTCCAACTGGTGGGCACAACAGTGACTTTTTGGCCTCAACCAGCCCCAAAACCTCCACCTACCACCTGGTGGGTCCTGCCCAGGCCACCTATATTCTGGGAAGTAACCTAGAGGCCATCCTTGTGGCTAGGGATCACTGGGGTAGGCCCAAGGCTCATGGTGGGGATCTGTTTCGGGCACAGCTGCTGGGCCCGGAAGTGAAGGCAGGAGTCCCAGGGGAGGTGAAGGACCTGGAGAATGGCACCTACCTCTTGTCCTTCCCCCTGCTCTGGGCTGGCAGGGCCCAGGTGCAAGTGCGGCTGATCCACTCCAGCGAGGCAGTTGGGGTCCTGCGGAGAGTCTGGAGAGAAACACGGGCCACCGTGGATTTTAGAGGGTATTTCCAAGGAACGAATGGCATTCAAGAGGTTGTCACCTGCAACGTGGACCCCCAGTCGACTGGAGCCAGAGGGCCGACCTGCCAGTACAAGGATGTGGTTTCTGGGGAGATCTGGTTCTGTGCTCAGCCCCCAACTTTGCCCTGCAGTGCTTTAGTGGGTCACTCGAGTGGACGTTACCTGAAGGTGACCACACCATATGATGAACTCCTGCTGGCTGGGTAAGACACCTAGAATCTTGAATGTTCCCAGTTCTAACTGCAGGTATGTGGAGGTCAGGAGAAAACTTGAGGAAGTCAGTTCTCTCCTTCCACCATGAGGGGCCCAGCTATCACACTGAGTCTGTCAGGCTTGGCAACAAGTACCTTCATCATCACCACCATCAACATCACCATCATCATCACCATCATCACCATCATTATCATCAACATCACCATCATCATCACCATCATCACCATCACAATCATCATCACCATCAACCTCATCATTCAGGGTTTCCTGATGCCCAGAGTGAACTTGAATTCCTTGGTGTTTAAGGGTGACCTTTTAGTGCAGGCAGAAAAGTCAAGTTCAAGGACCTTCTTGGCTTGGGATGCCTGAGCATGAGATCCTGTGTCAAAAAGGCAGGCATGAGGGGGGATGCGGGTGGAGGGTTATTTTCATAGTGACCGGTGTTTCTGTAACAATAATAATGACATTTATTACTCTTTCTAGATTGTAGTGCCAGGAAAAGTACATTTTCTCACTTGCTGTGGAGCTCTGTTTAGTATGAAAGAGATCTACATGGCTCTTTGGTTATCTTAACTATTACTGAACTATTACTGAAGGTTTTTCTCCTCCTTGTCTGCTCCTCCTAACTACCCTTCTCTCCCTGTGTTAGTGTGCTGGCTTTATTGTGGTGGCCTGGAATTAGGCAGAGGATAAATAGCCAGTCAATCATGGCATGCTCTTTGCAAATCAAATGTCCCCTGGTCAACTGCCCTCAAAGCTCATACTCTGTTTCTTCAGGAATGTGACTGACCAGAAACTCCCTTCAGGCATCCCTGCCTTCCTGGTCACACCAGCAGAGCCTGGAAACAGGAGTGATATGGGTGAGTGAGGCTGGAACAGGTTGGGGTTGGAAATAATCATCAGCTTGGATGGGTTGTGGGCCTTTTTTTTGTTTCTGTGAGTGTGTGTGTGTGTGTGTGTGTGTGTGTGTGTGTGTGTGTGTGTGTGTTATGGGTGGGCTTCTCTCTCCTGTGCAGATGTATCTAGAGGCCAGGCTGATGTAAGATTGTTCTCCCCAATTGCTCTCTCTCTTATTGGATTTTACTTTAAGTTGTGTTGTTTCTTGCAGGGAAAGCAGTTTCATCTCTGGCAGTAATCTGATAACTGAGAGCAATGAAAGTAGGAAAAATTGGGGTCCTGCCAGCCCAAGGGTGTCTGAGTAGGTGGTGAGCAGAGCTCAAGCTGGAAGGAAGAGCTGATTCTGGTCCTTCCAGCCATAGCAAGCTAGCAAGGGAGGGCCAGTATTCATATTATTGTCTGTAAAGGTTCTGTTTTGGGTGTTGATTTTGTTTTTGTTTTTCTGAGACAGGGTTTGTCTGTGTAGCCTTGACTTTCCTAACTCACTTTATAGACCAGGCTGGTCTTGAACTCACAGAGATCTGCCTGCCTCTGCCTCCCTGAGTGCTGGGATCACAGGCATGTGCCACTGCACCTGGCTCCACAGAGGTTCTAAATCTGGTGTTTGCAAAGCACTAAACCGAGAGGCCATGACTAGCCAGGCACTCACAGTATTCAGAGGGACACAACCTCTCTCCCGGGGCTCCCTCAGACAGGAAGAACCTGGAGGCATTGATGCCCCCCTCAAGAAGTGAGGGACCCCTGTGTTCATCATTTCCCCAGCCCAAAGGGAAACTGAAGTGAGGGGCAAAGAAGATCTGTAGGGGCCTCCCCAACAGCAGACAGAGCTGGAGTGAGGGTGGTGCTTGATTGTCCACAGGAACAACACACACAAAGAGAGAGAGAGAGAAAGAGACAGAGAAAGACAGAGACAGAGAGAGAAAATGAAGCCTTTCTTAAAAAAAAAAAAAAAACCCTGCTCCACCTCTGATGAGCACAAAGAACACTGGGCACAGGGTGGAATGTACCAGTTGCTTTATCCCTGAGGAGACCACATACAGTGCCCCAGAGAAGGCAAAGTTGGTCTAGAGCCTCAGGAACAGTGATCCAAGTGTGCAGCCACTCGAAGGTCTGGGCCAGGGTTCGAACAGCCTGATTGCCAGCATCCTCTAAGCCCCAAACGGATGGACACTGACCCAAGTACTTGAGGGGTTTCAATGTGTGGGCCACCACTTCTGGAGGGAAGGTGCTGGCCACAAGCCACCAAGCCCTAGGCTGGGGGAAGGGCTCCAGCTGTGTGCATGAAGCACCCAGCCAGCAGGTCAATGTTCTGGGGCAGTAAACATGGCCAATCCTATAGAAAGGTCCTGTTAGATTTTTCAGACAAGTCTCTCACTGAGCATGGAGCTGGCTTTTCAGCTAGGCTGGCTGCTCAGTGAGGCCCTGGGCTCTGCTGTCTCCACCTCCCCAAGTGCTGGGGATCCAGGCACACCACACCCAGCTATTACACATGTTCTACAGTTCAATCTCCCTTGCACACACCCACCAAATCATCTCCCCAGCCCTATCATGGATTTTATTCCAGAACTTTAACCTCCTTCCTGCCGGGGAAGTATGTGCTGTGGTCAGCCCTGAGGTGTAACAGCATACTTCCTGGCTTCAAATGCTCTCACTGTCTTTTACTGTGCTTTTATGAGCCAAATTTGTGGGCTGGAGAAATGGCTTAAAGGAAGCATACTTGTCCGATACTCAGACAAAGTACAAGACACCATCCCTGGCTCTGATAAGAAAATATTTTAGTAAGGTGTAACACACGTACAAACAACAGCTGTGTACATATATAATCTATGCAATGTCCTGAATTTACAATAAGGATACACCTTTGAGGCCACCTCCACAATCCGTGCTGGACATATATCTATCACCTCCTTGATGCCAAACTTTTAAGCTTAAGGATGTCAGGAATGATGAGTACAGGAACAAGGGGCTGGAGAGGGGCTCTGAGGTTCAGAGCCCTGGCTGCTCTTCCAGAAGACCTGAGTTGAGATCTCAGCAACCATGTTGGGTGACTCTCACCTGCCTGTGGTTTCAGCCTAAGGGAATCCTCCATCTGGCCTTTGCACACGGATGGCATACACACAAGCACATATGTTAAAAAAATAAAGAACACCAGAGTAAATTCAGCTTCTGCTGGGCAGTGTGGTGCCTACCTACCAGGTTGGCACTCTGGAAACAGTAAGGCCACAGTTCAAGCCTGGCCTCTCCTCGTATTGAATTCAAACTTAGGGTGAAACCCAGAGCTTCGTGAGGCCAGGCAGGCGTGCTCCAGCTGTGTTCCTAAGTCCTGGCACCTCCGTGTTCTCTCCACAGCACCAGCTCTCCCCTCTCCCTCTGGGTCCCTTCTCCCTGCTTCAAAGGGTCCTCTTCAGGCTTGGGCTCTGAATTTGGAGGACGAGGTTGAACAAACACTCATGTGGATCATCTCTGTGGCTCTTCCTGCTCCTTGTAGCCTTCCTTGGTGTGTGGTGGAGAGAGCAGGGCCTAAGCCCTGGGTTCAGGAAGGCAGTGGCACACAGCCTTGGCCTCTGCGGGGTCTCCATTGGCTCTTCTTCACATGCTTGCAATCCTTGGTTCTGACAGGGCTTCTGATGTTGTTCAGCTGAGGTTGGTGTTGCCTCGCTGTTTCAGAGATGGTCTCACTATGCAGGCCTAGCTGTCCTGGAGTGGGCTATATGCAGCAGGCTGGCCTTGAACTCACACAGATCAGCCTGCTTTGGCTTTAAGAATGCTGGTATTAGAGGCGTGCGCTGCCCACGCCTGCTACTTTATTTTGTTTTTGAAACAGTCTTGGGTAACACAGGTTGACCTGAACCTCCTTTTTTCAATTTTTAAAAAGTGTGTGTGTGTGTGTGTGTGTGTGTGTGTGTGTGTGTGTGTGTGTAGGTCAGAGGGCACCTTGCTGAGATAGAGTCTCTCTTTTCACCTCATGGGTCCACATCAACCTCAGGCCATCAAGACTGGATACTGAGACACATTAACGGCCTTTGAAAATTACTCACCTGTTTATGATTACATATGTGTCCATGCGTGGGTGAGGGTATGTGTATGCCACAGTGTGTGTGAGGTCAGAGGAAAACTCTGTGGAGTAGTTGTCACCTTCCACCTTTATGTGGGGCCTGGAGAATTGACTCAAGTCACCCCCAGGCTGCCACAGCAAATGCCTTTACCCACTATGTCACTTTGTGGGCACAAGCTCAAGGTTCTGACCCCTTTGCCCTGTCTCCTGAGTTACAGGCCAGAAGCTGACACAGCTGGCTTATTCAGTGCTGAGATTTGAACCCAGACCAATAAACATAGTAGATAAACATTCTCTAAACTCAGCTCAATCTCAAGCCATTTATGTACTTTTTGTGTGTTTCTTTCTTTTGAGAAGGGTCTCACTATGTAGCCTTGGCTGGTCTGGAACTTGTTATGTAGACCAAGATGGCCTTCAATTCATAGACACTGGTTGACTCTGCCCCCCCCCCCCCATAGGCTTGAGCTACCGTGCCTGGCCCGTCATCATTTTCCTTGATCACCGTAAACTATATAATGTCTAGGAACTCAGTGTTTCCATCTCTAAGTGGAGACAGGAACAGTGCTCCATCCTGAGTGTGGAGGTGTACACCTGGAGCTCTGTAATCAATTAATTGTAGATCTATTTCCTGTGGGCTTCTATGTCTCCTTCCTCCACCCAATCCCCGTCAATACCCCAACACCAAGGAGGAAAGAAAGCTTAGTGGGTAGAAGGGACCGTAATCCTCTTTAGGTTCTTCCTGCAGGTTAGGGTCATTGGGCTCCTTGGGGCAAGTCCAACCTTCATAGTTAGGAGACCTGACTTCTCACCAAACTGCACCAACAGCAACCAGGAGCAGCAGGGGGAAGCGGCAGCCCTCTTCTTCCTCAGAGCCACCGACCCTGGGTCTCTCCTGGCTTGGCATTTATTGTCTCTAGAGTTGCCAGAATTAAACTATCTGAGCTGCCAAAGTTCAGGGTCCTCTCAGAGTCTGCACGGGACAAATTGTCAGCTCCTGTGGGCAATCTGGGGCAGCCCCATATTTCACACCTGGGATTCAAACAAAACCATGTTTGCATAACATAACAATTTGTTTTGTTTTGATTTTTTTTTTTTTGAGACAGTCTGGGTAGCCCTGACTGTCCTGGAACTTGCTTTGTAGCCCAGACTGGTCTCAAACTCACATAAATCTTCCTGCCTCTGCCTGCTGAGTGCTGGGATTAAAGGCATGTACCACCATGCCTGGCACATTACTGAGTTTTGACAGAAACCAAAACTTCCACTACACTTCCCTCCTTTAGTCTAAAAAAGAAGAAGAAGAAGAAGAAGAGAAACTGGCCTTTTCTCTAGTATGAATGAGACTTGTTGCTTTCTTGAAGCAAGGAACTATTGTCAAAGAACCAAACACTTTTTGGATCAATGGTTTCTTGTATAACCTTGTAACTCTGGGCTGCTCATGTCTGGAATGGCTTGTACTTTTTGCTGCTGAGTCTTGAGCTAGGAATTCAAAGCCGTTTGCTAATGGCAACAGATTACCTCGTATGTTACTCTTGGACCTGCACTCATCGGACCAGTGATGCCTTTTACCACAGTGCCCACAAACCCCAGGAAAATCAGCCATTTGTGCCTTGAACACAATGGTGCCAGAAATGGCTTTGCTTTTCTGGCAGAAAGGACCATATTTCTCAGAGTTAACACACTGGGGCTGTTTTGAGTTCTGAGGCTTTTAGCAGCTGGGTCCCAATTTCTTTTCAAATGACCATATTTACTGCAGTTGAAGCAACAAGTGTTTTGGTATCTAAGGCTTTGGCTGGCTACTGAGAAAGCTGCTGGTGGTAAGCTTGTAACCCAGGGCTCTCCTCAGGCAGCTCAGTTTGCTCAAGATTAACCCTTTCTCTTGAAACAGGCTGTTTCTCTTTAACCTTTTCTCCCTGTACTTCTCCTGGGTCCCCAGCCTGCCCAGGAGCTGTGAGAACTTGACACCAAAAGTGCATGGAGTTGGGCAGGGTGGCAATTTCAGGAAACTCTGGTTCTCAGTCTGTACCCTTTTGTTCTCCTTTTCCAGTGGTGCTTTCGCTTCCAAGCTATTCCATCTCAAGCCACAAACTCTCTAGTTGCACAGCCAACTCTGCAATCCTCTCAAACGTGAGAGGATCAAGTGATAATTCTGGTTTCTATATTCTATCCAGTGTTCGTTTCTTAGACCCCACATAACCACTTGAACTTTGCCAATTGTTCAACCATTCTCCCAATCTTTATTGAATGGAATACAGGAAGAAGACTAAGCAAAAACAGAAAATTCCCTCTGGGAGCAAAACAGGAGAGAACCCAGTGGCAGTAGCTGCTATGAACTTTTTGCTGACATCTTGAAACAGTATATTAATTCCTTCATACCCTGCTTTTTCCTCTACAGCATTGGAAACCAGATTTTCCACTATTCCAAGCCCTATATCTGAACACCTCTTGTAGGCACCTATATTTTAACTATTTTAGGTTCTTATACCTCTACATCCCTTCTCTACTCCAATCCCTCCCAACTTTAGAACACTATGTACGAGAGAAAGAAGGGTAGTGGGCAGAAGGGCCATAGTTCATTTTACTACTTCCTGATGGTTAGGGTTGTTGGGTTTCTTGGGGCAAGTGCAGTCTTCATAGCCAGGATATCTCCAACTTCTTCATGTCAAACTGCATCAACAGCAGCCAGGACCAGCAGGGGGGAGCATCATTTGCCCCCTTTCTCTCTCTAGACTCTGGCCTTCATTCCCTCTCCACAGTCCTCAGAATTAACCTATCTGCAGCTGGCAAAAGCTCATGCCCATCTCAGAGCCTGCACAAGGGAAATCGTCTGCTGCTGTGGGCAGCCCCCTATCCCACACTTGGGATTAAAACAAAACCATGTTTACATAACATAACTGTTTTTAAAGAAAGCGAAACTTCCACTACAGAGTTCCAGCACTCTCAAGGTGAAGGCCGGAGAATTAGAAAGCCAAAGCCATTCTCAACTGAATAGGAAGTTTAAGACAACCATGAGCTTTATAAGACTGTTTCACACACTCACGTATACACACACACACACACACACACACACACACACACACACACACAGACACCATAACAGAATGTCACAGTTCTCTGTGAGAATACCTGACTGGACCATGGAAATGGATCTATGGGCAAACATGATCTGAGTTTAAACCCTGGGACATACGTGGTGAAGGGAAGAGCTGACTCCCAAAGGCTGTCCTCTGAGTACACACATGTGCTGTGGCCTGCACTCACAAATAAACACATGTGAAGAAGTTAATTTTCAAAACACTGTAAGCAATGCCAGACATTTAGAAGATGGTCATTTTTTTAAAAAATCTGTGTTTCTCTCTCCTCCAGCCTTGCCCTCCAGGCCGCCATGCCGCCCTGGCCACTTGTCTCTAAAACCCTCTGGCTTCTACCACCAAGACCGATGGCACTCGACGTTCTGTTCCAGCCGCTCCTTCCCCACTGCGGACAGCATCCTGAGCTGCCTGGCTGGCCGCATCGTCTACATGATGGGGGACTCCACCCTCCGGCAGTGGTGGGAGTATCTGCGGGACACGGTGCCCTGTGAGCGAGCACGAGGGGAGCATGCGTGCAGTCAGGGTGCAGAAGGCAGACGCAACGGTGCTGAGGGAGGCCCCGGCTTAGCGGACAGGCGGGGCAGGATGCTGGTCTTCCTGAAGGCACCTGAGTGGAGGCGTGAGCTGGTTTGCTCTGTTTTATGAGGCAGGGTCTCACTACGAACGTAGCCCTGGTTGGCCTGGAACTCCCTTTGTGATCAAGATGTCCTCAGAGTCACAGAATCCACCTGCCTGTGCACACTGAACGGTAGATTTAAAGGCATACTCCACCAAGCCCAGCCTGGTTGAGTTTTAACAACTCTGTGTCTGTGTGTGTGTGAGTACATGTCATGGCACAGGTCCTGTGGAGGTCGCAGGACAGCTCTCAGAAGTCACTTCTCTCCTTCCAGGGATGAAGCTAGGCCATCAGGCTTGCACAACTCTCAGCTGATGAGTCATCTCACTAGCCACACCACACTAGGCAAGCATTGCAAACCCTGACCTACATTCCCCTCCAGCATTGTCTGGGATCAAGGTAAATCACAAAGCATTCGAGGGTCTCAGTGTCCCCGTCTATGGGTGGAGACATGAATACTGCTTCAGCCTGAGTGTGGTTTGCACCCCGATAGCTGTAGCTCTCTGGATGTGACAGGAAGGTTGTGAATTCAAGGCCATTCTGAGCTGCAAAGACAGTTAAAGTCTAACGTGGCCTACCTAAGACTCTGTCTCAAATGATTGTACAGACATACACACACAAAAAATTAAAAGACAAAAACATCTTAGTCTGAAATTGGGATCCGCACATCTCCTGGGATCAGGAAGGCAGAAGCAGGAAGGTCTCTGACTTTGAGGCACGCCTGGTCTAGCTTGCTCCAGGTCAGCTAGGGCTACATGGAGAGTACATAAGATGGAAACTGGGTAGGGTGCTACCCACCTGCCACTCCAGCAAGGGGAAGTAGAGGCGGAAGGATCAGGAGCTCATGATAATGTTTTGCACATGTGAAGTGTGAGGCCAGCCTAGGCTGCACACTGGTTCCCTATCTTAATGCCGTCTCTCTCCTCTTTCCCACAGCCCTGAAGCCAGTTGACCTCCATGTCACATATCAGGCGGGCCCCCTGATGGCTGTGGAGACAACTCGGGGGACAGTGTTGCACTGGAGGGCCCACAGCTGGCCCCTGCGCTCTCTCCGCACCCCAGTGGCCTCCCTGCACTCTGTGGCCAGAGAGCTCCATGGCCTGGCTGGGGACCCCTACACGGTGGTGGTGCTGGGCATGGGAGCCCACTTCACCACCTTCCCTCCATCCATCTTGGCTCGAAGACTAGCAGGCATTCGGGAGGCTGTGAAAGCCCTGCTGGACCGGGCACCCAGCACCCTGGTCATTATCAAACTGGCCAACACTGGCTACAAGTCTGTGTATGGCAGTGACTGGCTCACGCTCCAGGTGAACCGTTTGCTCCGAGCTGCCTTTGTTGGTCTTCGGGTGGCCTTTGTGGATGCATGGGAAATGACCTCCAGCTTGGCTCTGCCAGACAGCATCCACCCGGGGAGGCTCATTGTCCGAAATGAAGTGGACTTACTCCTTTCCTTCATCTGCCCCACCTGAGTGCTCCTGAGGGACCTGGGGCTGGATGGAAGGAGAGCCTGGGTGTGGCCACAAACAAACAAACAGCGAATGATGGGAAGCAGAAGCTACCCCTGCTTACCCACTATAAAACTCTAGTCCCATATTTTATGCACCACACAGAGAAATCTAATTTTATATAAAGGAGACAACGTTTTGCACATGCTCTTCTTTTGAAGGTAGGGGCTGGGTGTGGCGTGTGTACAGATATGTGTATGTGTGCCCTCTCCCATGTGTGCACAGAGGCCAGAGGAGATCTCAGGGTCTCCTGTTCTATCACTGTCTTCTTCACTCCCCTGAGAAAGGGTCTCTCCCCTGAACCTCGTCTCTGTCCCTCACAGCCCTGGGAATCAGGCACAAAGTTTGTATCGGAATTTATGTGAGTGCTGGGGTTTCACACTCAAACCCTTGTGTTGGTGTCCTTACCCACTACGTTATCTCTCACATCTGTCTTTTTACTTTTTTAAGACAGGTCTTGGGGTGGAACAATGGCTCAGGGGTTTATAGCACTGGATGGTCTTCTAGGGGAGCAGAGCTGAATTTTCAGAACCCTTATGGCAGGTCACAAGTGTGGGTAACTCTGCTTCCCAGGGGTTGACCACCTTTTCTGTTTCGTGTTTGTTTGCTCTTCCTGTTTTTTAAATATTGTATAGTTATTCTCTTTACATCTCATACTTAGCCCCCTCTCTCCTCTCCTCCTGGTTCCTTCCCTATGTCACTCCCTCATCCCCCTATTCTCCCTCCCCTTTTCCTCAGAAAGAGGGGACCCCCCCTGCCGTGCACACAAATCCCAGAACATCCAGTCTCATCAGGACTGAGCACTTCCTCTATCACATTGTCCTGTCAAGGGAGATCCTGCCAAGGGGGAAGTGATAGAAAAGCATGCAACAGAGACCATGTCAGAAAGCCCTCATCTCCTTTCTAGGGGACCTACATGGAGGCTAAGCTGCCCATTGGGTACATCTCTGTAGAAGGTCTAGGTCTTCTCCATGTATGGTCGCTGGCTGGTGCTTCAGTCTCTGCAGGCCCCTCTGGGCCCAGGTTAGTTGGGACTGTTGGTCTTCCTGTGGAGCTCCTGTCCCCTCCAGGTCCTTCTATCTTTCCCCCTCTCTTCTATAAGGCTCTCTATGCTCCACCCATTGTTTGGCTCATTTTTAGTTTTGATCCTTTGCTGGAGACTCTCAGAGGACAGCAATGCTGTGCTCTCCTGTGCAAATACAGTGGAGCATAATCAATAGTGTCAGGGCGTGGCTCTCTCCCATGGAGTGGGTCTCAGGTTGGCTAGGCACTTGTTACCATTTCCTCAGTCTCTGCTCTATTTTTATCCCTGCACATCCTGTAGGCAGCGTAAGTTGTGGGTGGGATGTTTTTTTCTGGGTGTGTTGATGTTCCCCTCCCTCCTCCAGGAGCCCTTTTGGGTTAAAGGGTGGCCTCTCCAGTCTCCATGACCCCCACTTCCAAGGGTTTCAGCTAGAGTAACCCCCACCCTATCGCAGATGACCAGCTTGTCTAAGAGATAACTCCACCCATGGTTTCTTCTCACTCTGCAAGCACTCTGCCTTCTCACCCCGCTCTCCCCACATCTGATCCCCACCCTTATTTACCTCAGTGTTTCCTTTTTTCCAGCTGCTTTTGATGACTATTCTATTTCTCCTTCCGAGTGAAATTCAAGCGTCCTCTTTGGGGTCCTCCTTGTTACTTAGCTTCTCTGGTCTGATAAGATACAAGGGGGTTATTTCAGTTTTCTTGTATCTGCTGAGGCTTGCTTTGTGACCAAGGATATGATGAGTTTTGAAGAAGGCTCTGTGAGGCACAGAGAAGAATGGATATTCTTTCGTGTGAAATGTTCTGTAGATGTCTGTTGGGTCCATTTGATTCATGACATCTGTTAGTTTCATTATTTCTCTATTTAGTTTCTGTTTCAATGATCTGTCCCTTGGTAAGAATGGGCTGTTGAAGTCTCCTACTGTTAATATGTGGGGTTTGATGTGTGGTTTAAGTTTTAGTAATTTTTTACGAATGTGATGCTTTTGCATTTGAGGCATAGATGTCTAGAATTGAGATATCATTTGGGTGGATTTTTCCTTTGATGAGTATGAAGTGTCCTTCCCCATCTCTTTTAATTACTTTTGGTTGAAAGTCCATTTTATTAGATACTAGAATGGCTACTCCAGCTTGCTTCTTGGGTCTGTTTGATTTGAAAAGCTTTTTTCAGCCCTTCACTCTGACATAACATCTATCTTTATGTCATCTTTATGACATAAAGACATCTTTATGTCTGAGGTGTGTTTCTTGTATGCAGCAGATTGATGGATCCAGTTTTGCATCCATTGTGTTAGCCTGTGTCTTATTGGGGAACTGAGTCCATTGATGCTGAGTGATAAATGATTGTTAATTCTTGTTATTTTGATTTTGGTAGTGGTAGAGTATGAGGGGGGGCATGTGTGTGTATTTATGTACGTGTGTTTCTTTTCTTTTAGTTTTGCTGATGTGTGGTTACTTATTTCCTGTGTTTTCCTGGGTGTGGTTAGCCTCCTTGAGTTGGAATTCCCCTTCTAGTATCTTCTGTAGGGCCAGATTTGTGGGTAGATGGTGATCTTGATATATCTTGTTTTCTCCATCTATGGTGATTAAGAGTTTTGCTGGGTGTAGTAGTCAGGGCTGACATCTGTGATCTCTTAGTTCTTGCAGAATATCTGTTCAGGCCCTTCTGGCTTTAAGAGTCTCTTTTGAAAAGTCAGGTGTAATTCTGACAGGCCTGCCTTTGTATGTGACTTGGCCTTTTTCCCTTGCATCTTTCAAAATTCATTTTTTGTTCTATACGCTTAGTGTTCTGATTATTATTTAGCAGGATTTTCTTTTCTGTCTACTACTACTAGTGTGGTAGTCTACTTGATGTTCTGTAGGCATCTTGTGTGTTTATAGGTGTCTCTTTCTTTAGGTTGGGGAAGTTTCCTTCTATGATTCTGTTGAAAATATTTTCTGGGCCTTGGAGGTGGGAGTCTTCTTCTATTCCTATTTTTCTTAGATTTGCTCTTTTTATAGTGTCCCAGATTTCTTGGATGTTTTCTGTCAGAAACTTTTTAGATTTAAGATTTTTGTTGGCTGATATATCAGTTTCTTCTATCATATCTTTACACCTGAGAGTCTCTCTTGTATTCTGTTGGTGATGCTTTTGTTTGTAGTTACAGTTGCCTTTCCTGGGTAATCCATCTCCAGGATTGCCTCAGAATGTGTTTTTTTTTTTTATTGCTTCTATTTTTGTTTTTAGGGCTCTCATGGTTTTATTCATTTCCTTCTCCCATTTCACTATATTTTCCTGTATTTCTTTAAGGGATATTCAATTCCTTCACCTGTTTGATTTGTATTTCTTTGATCATAATTCTTTGAGGGATTTTTTTCCTGTTTCAAGGCCTCTATTATTTTTATAACATCAGATTTAATATATTTTCCTTGCACTTCAGGTGTCTTAGGATGTCCAGTGATTGCTGAAGTAGGATATCTGGGTTCTAGTGGTGCTGTATGGCCCAATGTTTTGTTTCTTATCTTCTTACACTGACCTCTAGCCATTTGGTTGTTCCTGGTGTTAGCGGGCCTGCTGGTGTCTGATGGTATTTGGTCTCTGGGACTGTAGATTTAGCTGGTGGTCCCAGATGGCAGAGGTCTTCTGATTTGTCTGGGTAGTAGCAGATCTCCTGGGATACAATGAGAACTGGTAGTCTCTGATGGCTGCTGCAGGTGGAGATGGGGACCAGAAAATGGCATACGCCAGATGCTGTTGGTCCATGGTGGGTACTGCTCCCTGATGGCTGATGTTCCCCAATGGTGGAAGTCTGTTAGAATGCAGGTGGACATGTGGCCTTGGAAATGATGTGGATCAAGAAGATGGTACTTGGAGCATGCTGCTGTTCCCTGGTGGTTACCTGTACCGGGACATTTGTTTGTTTTTTCAAGACAGGTTTCTCCGTGTCATTCTGGCTGATCTGGAACTCTCTCTGTTCAGGCTCTCTGGTCAACTCTCTCTGATCAGGCTGGCTTTGAACTCAAAGATCTACCTTCCTGTGCCTCCCAAGGGATTAAAGTCATGCTTTACCACTGCATGGCACCATTGGCACACACTTTTACACAGATATCCATGCAAAACACCAGTGTACTGCTGGAGCCCGCTGGCACAGTCAGACAGTTCCTGAGTGGGGAGTGAGCATTGAAAGAAAACTAAAAAAACAACACGCTACACATGGCGTCTGTTCGAGAGGGCTTTCAGCAGAAACTAGGTACTCGGTTTGTTCCACAGTCCTTTTTTATAGTCAGAGCAAAGCACCTTGATACAATGAAGGGGTCCGAGAAGTCAAACTTGTTTACACCTGTCTGTGTGATCCTCACACAAACAAAAGGAAATGAACTTGGCAAAACATTCTGCCCATTCCTGTCTCCAGGTGAAGGCCAGGGTGAAACACGTTCTTTGCTGAGAGCTCAATAACAAAGCATCCTGACAAACAAGCAGCCATCCACAGGTCTTCCTTCTTTATATTTTAAAAACTGGCCATAACTTAAGAGCTATGGAGCAGAAGATTGTGGCCTGTCCTTAGGTTGTCTCTCTTGAAAGATACATTCTTACCCATCATTGGTACATGAATTCCATCATTCATGCCATGTCTTAGGTTGGATATTCTTCAGGGAGATCTTACCTGTCTTTGACTACCAACCTCTGCTAGAGTAGACACTGGAGTTTAATCTTATGCAGATCACTGGTAGGAGACATGCTCCTAATAAGAGTAATAAGCCAAGTCCTATAACACTCCATAAAAGTGATTTAAAAGATGACCCCTTATCAGAATACGAAGCCTGAGGCATTCACAAGAACTATAGCAAAAGGAAGTCAAACAACCTGAACCTGTTGTCCATTTGAAAGCTTAGATATACAGTTTTAGATATACAGTTTACATTGATGGCAAAAAAGCATTAAAGTTTGAATCTTGTATAAAAATGTTAACATTTCTAAACAACAAAGCATAAGGTGAATTTACATAGGCAATTAAAAGGCCTCCCAAGAGTTTCTGTGGCAAGCTTCCAAATACAGGTCTGCTGAAAACCAGAATCAGACCAAAGTCCCATAGTCAGTCCTCTTTGAGAATTGCCCTAATTACCAAACAAGTCCAGT